AAAAGAAAATTTTGAAAAAAATGTCGCTTACGTTATTTTGGCGGTTAGGGCTCGATATGTACTGCCTATACATACAATAAAAAAAAAAAATTCTTATTGAAATTAACAAAATAAAAATTTGTATTACATGGAAGCGTGGCAACCCTGATCGAAAATATTTGCGGACCAAAGTTCTCAACAATACCTTTCACTTGATAACCATATTGCGATGTTTTAGACAAATTGTGTAGAAGCGAAACTAAGTGGCAACCTTACACTATTATTCTAAGGGATAACATTTTGTATATAGAGAAATCATTGTTTAAGAACCTTCTCTTGGTACTCATAAATAGTAATATTTTACCTTTTATTTCTAATCAAAAAATTAAATTCATATGCGACTCAAAACAGGTGGCAACCCCACTAAAACTATTTTTAAATTAGGGATTTTTAAAATACCTTCCTTTTAATGCCCAATATTATGATGTTTTTATTAATTTGTAACTAATTTCGAATAGGTGGCAACCTTATACGAGTCTTCTCGTAAATGCAAAACATTATCTGAGTGCAAAATTGCATCAATATCGTTGTCCGAGAACCCTGTGGATATATGTACATATATATAAGTATATACAAGAATTGCTCGTTTAATGTAGTAAGATAGACGCCTTCTCAATAGCACTGCCTCTAATGGTAAAAATTACTTATTGGAGTGCAGCTTAGATCTCGAGATCAACGCCAGTCTTTGTGAAACAATCACTCACAAAGCTTCAGCTTCTGTCATGTGGAGCCAAAACTCCGCGCCATACATTAGCATAGGCATGATGGGTGACTTATAGAGTGTGATTTTTGTACGGAGAGAGAGAGGACTTTACTTCTCAATTGCCTACTCAGTCCAAGGTAGCACTTGTTGGCAAGAGTGAATCTCCGTTGGATTTCAAGGCTGATAATGCTGCATCCCAAATAAACGAAGTCGTCTACTTTTTCAAACTTGTTACTGTCAACAGTGACGACGTGTGTGCCAAGTCGCGTATGCTTTGACTGTTTCACCATCAGACCAATTCACTTTGCTTCTCTATCTAATCTCGAGTAGGCAAAACAGACGAAGCCCTTGTTTTTACCGATAATGTCCAAGAATGATAGAATACAAGATTGCGCCGATCAGAATAGCGGTCCGAGATCTGCGCAACCTTTGTATTCTCTCAATCGTGGATAATGTCGATGTCGCCGGCATACGCCCGCAATTGTACGCTCTTGTAAAGTATTGTGCCGGAGCGGTTAAGTTCTGCTGCTCTTTCGGACGTTTCGTCGTGGGGGCTGAATTTTACGACAGTGGCGCCAAATGTCCTCTCCTTGCCCGCCTTGGCATTGAAACCGCCAAGCACGATTTTTATATCGGAGGCAGCGCTCATCATATGTTTGCTTTAAGCGCTCATAGAAGAGAACCTTGAACGCCTCAACCTCGGGTTGAAGAATCTCGTTTTGATGCGGATTGTGACTAGACGTTCGTCCACCGGTGTAAACGCCAGTACTTGGCGACGCAATGTCTCTCCCACCACAAATCCAACACCGTGGCTTTTTGTTGTTTTTCATTGGGCGAGGCTTTAACTTGGCGGGACGCTAACACACCGCACACGAAGTTTTACGCCATCTCACTTTAGTTCGCTCCCAAACGGGTGTTTGGTCGCTACCCAAAGTATACGTATGCAAAATTTTACCATTGCAGGGTTTAGTAAACAAATTATATACTCTACGAATACGAAGAAACGAGGATCGTTGCTACCAGATCCTCTATCTCCTTTGCTACTTCATATTTCTTCATATTTACCCTATTGGTTTGGGGCGAGCCCAATAAACTTCGACTGCTGGCATCTCAGAAAATAGCAAACTTAAAATAATAATTAAATTATAATCTGCCTTATCTTCGCAGTTTCGCAAAAAAAAAGTGCAATCGAAAATTTGTCATCCGTCCATAGTAAATTACATGTAAACCAAAAGTGAAAAGTGAACCGGCTCGGGGAAAATGAAACTCATGATATTGCTGAAATTAGTATTATTTTTCTTACTTTTTATAACCTAACCTAAAAACCCAGTTGGTTACCCTTTTTAATGGTACTTGTATTTAATTTTTCACTTTCTTCACAAATCTATATTTAAAAAAAAAAAAAAAAACAGTTTATTGACGTGCAAGAAAAATTTTTTTTCTGTCAAAACATACAATTGCTAATTTTTATTTGTGTATTTCAGAATTTGTAAAAAAGGAGATAATCGTTCCAACGAGGTGTTGATATTGACAAAAGCTGGCTTACCATTAAACCAGCTCACTAACGCACGCTCAAAGATAATTACGAGCCTTGCAAAGCAGAAATAGTGCAAATACTTAAGCGCCGAAAGCATATTAGCCATAATTGGCCAACGTACTTAAAGGAGTCAAATAGTCGAGAGCAAATAGCGGACTTATTATATTGAATAACTAAAGCAATTTTTAGAGAATAAACTACGAGTGATTATACTG